AGTTCTGGCTTGATCAAGTCGATCCTGGACTTTTCTTTGATTTGAGCTGCAATCGTGTTTAGCATCAATGTCTTGTTCAATGATTTTTCTTTTTGATTCCCCTTGGAATTGATTTTTTGTTCTGAGTGAGCTTTCCTCTCTTGTTTGAACTACTCAGGTTTGATTGTAAAGTCAATTAAAAGATGTTCTTTTTGACATGAGATATGGCTGGATTGAATCTATCAAAGGTAATCATGACTTCTCTTTGAGGAGTTGTAAAATCAACTTTGCTTTACTCTCTTGACCAATGATTTTCCTTTTAGAGTCTCTTGTTTGAAATACTTGAGTTAGTCTTAGTGTGCATGTTTATACATCACATTTGGCCAGTGATCTGAGCAAGTTGGATTGACTCTACGTTTACCTGAGGTAGCGAGTCTTTACATTGTTTCCTTTCAAGGACAAACAATGGAACAAATAATTACTAGAATGGTTAAGGAATCAAGAACTAGTCATTAACTACCTCAAGGGTTAGTCCTAGACCGTAGTTGACGAAGAACAATAGAGAAAAATGTCTGCATAGCCATATCGTTATGTCCTAAATATATGACTCCTGATCATTGTCTTTAGGTTGTATTGATGTGTTCTACGCTTATCTTTTCTGTTGCTTTACACAAATCACATGTATGGAGTTACTACCATACATCTTTGTTTGCTTCCCAGGTTGGTGTTTACTTGCTGATGATTCTCTTTTACTGCAATTATTGTAGAGGTCAATTTGTGAAACATGTGGACATCAAGGATGGAAGGATTCACTTGTAACTTGCTCTAAATGCCGCATAGCCTGTGAACACTGGTGAGAAGTAATATCATATCTTATTAGTTTTGCTTATGTAGTCAAATGAATCTTTTGATTGTCTTTAACTAATTCTCTTTCAATTTTTATCTCTGTTTTCCAGTTATTGCATGCGGGAGAATTCATTTGAGACCTCAACACATTTTGTCTGTGCTGATTGTTCGATGAGACCTGTTCAAAACAGATTTACTTCAGATTCTATCAAAGCAGTCCCTCGAAGTAATAGGAATAAAGTGCGGGTGGAATCTTCAAATCCAGTTCCTAAATGGAAAAAAATTCCTGAAACGTCAAAGATGAAGTTAATTTCACCAGAGGAAGTAAAAAAACTTTCATGTGGAGGCAGTACAAGTAAATCAACTTTCAGAGTACCAAGACCTGTTTCAGCTCGTCCTCCAATGGGTTTAACAAAACAAACTGCTGGCTTTCCAAGAGCTAGGAGTCTAAATTCTGCAGTGGTGGCTCGCAAAACCAATTCAAATCACCTTCCACCTAAACAGGTTGAGCCTCTTAGTCCTCGTACTCAGCAGATTCGTCCAGGAGTCATGAGACAAGCTTCTAAAGCACAAGCAGTAGGAGAAGGTGGAATATTTTGCTTCTCTCTCTTTTTTCTTAATCTATTCCCTTTCTAAAGGCCTAAGATCCAATACTTCTTTTACTAGATGACTGATAACATATCTTGCTGATTTTTGAAATTTTTTTATTGGCTTTTCAAGGGTCAAAAACGAAAGTTGGTGGTGGAGCTAAATATCATGGTACCAACGAGATATGCCGATCAATCTTATCAGAGAAATTGTTGCAATTACTTCCATATCGACCAGCTTTGCACCCCATCTGGAAGTGAGTTACTGATCACATCAGACAATATGTATTTTTTGCTATCAAAATTTTTATGCTTCGGTCAGACCACTCTATAGTACTCCTACTAATTTCACAATTTCCATGAGTTGTGTTTGTTCATATTACCTTTTTCTTTTCTCTCGTAGTGCTTAGGGCATGGGCAGTGGGGCAAGCAGGTGAGTGTGAGTCTTGGGGTGTAGGTATTAAAAAAACAAAAAAATTGTCTCTCTCTTCACACCCGGGTGTAAGTTTACACTCGGGTGTAACACTTTTTCTCTCTATCTCTCTCTTTCTTTCTCTTTCTCTTTTCTCTTTTGCTTTAAATCATAATACTAAAAAAATACTTACACCCACACAAACACATTTGCCACTGCTGATGGTCTTAGCCTTATCTGCGATCTTAAAAAGGAAATCTCCTTAGTTTCTTTAGCATTAGGCTTTGTTACATTGCTGAAAAGCCTGAAACTGAAGATGTGCATATTTTATATATCTTTCTCCCTATATACCAGGGGACGCATTGTGGATTCTGCTACACCATCTGAGTTTAATGGCGAGTTCTTAGCTCAACCGGCATCTAAAGTCCGAGGGAAGGCTTATGTACTTTCAAAGGCGGTTCCTGTCTTACTCAAGGTCAAATTGGTTCCTATAGGCAATCTTCTGAGTGATTTGTTTATGAACAGAAAACCAGGGCTTTCAGATGTCGAGATGTACATTTTCCCATATGAAAAGAACACAAAAAGGTAATCAAGCCACCTTCGCTACAAAGGAAAAGCTTCTTGTTCATTGTTATCACAAAACTTACGATGATTGCAGGTTTACGGAGGAACGTGATCATCTCTTTGAGGCCATGAGGACTCGCAATGCCATGATCAAATTTAATATCAATGGCACACCATTGTTGATATTCTCTTCAAAACTATTGGACAAGTCCTCCCAGAGTAAGCCTAGTGTATGCTTTACAGATCTATCACTGGCTTCAAATATAAATAAAACTCGTTTTGTGTTTGCAGTTATCATCAAGATGCAGAAGAAAACAAATAACTTCCTTTGGGGGATTTTTCTCCTAACGAAAAAGTCTTTAGCACTTCTTCCAGGAACTTCCAATCAAACTCCCCAACATTTTGATGATGGAGATGTAGTTGACAATGACACTGAAGTAGGCTAATTCCTTCTTTTTCTAAATCAAAGACCCTTCATCATCATCATCATAGCTTTAATAACAAGTCTCTCAAGTGGTTGTTCTTGTCTCTGATGTAAAATGTGTTTTGCTTGTTTTTCATTGCATCTGGTGGAATCAGCCTTTCTTCAGACGTACCAACCACCGGAATTCTGGTAAAGAATTGTAGAGACATTACAGGGAGAGGGACTGATCAATGTGGAGTGGCTGATGTTGTCTCTAGGAAATTGGTATATAGATTAGTGCTACTAATCTCTGATTGTGTTCTATATTGGTGTAAGAAGTAAAAAATTTAGCCCTTGTGTTACTTTTTTACCTCCTGATTACTTGTAGATTTTTATGGGGTACTGAATAAAGGTTATATTGTTTATATTTTTCCATTGACGGTAACGGGTAGGCTTTATTAATATAGTTGACAAAATCCCAAACTTGTTCTATAAATAGTTTAAGTTGGAAATGGCTTCGTTTTGATTGTTATTTGAAAGAAAAGAAAAAAAAAACACAGAAATAAATATGAATTTTCATCTCCCCTGTATATATTTATTAATCAATACTACCACAGATTCTGCAAATGAATTTGAACTTGGCTTTCGTATATAAGCAAAGATTCAAGTTTGGGTTTCGAGAGAAGCAGCAAATACAAATTTGTCTTCACTCTTGAGAGCAAAAAAAAAAAAAAACTGTTTCTTCCATTTCAAGAAAACGATCAAAGCCTGCAGGTTTCATTCAACGCCATTGAAGAAGAGCCTTTGATCGATAACTATGGCCGACGAAAGTGGATACGACGCTGGATCAGAAGCTTCACTACCTTCTTCAGGGTCAGAGATAAGCTTTGTCGAGGTAAAAGCTAAACCCAATTTATTGGTCCGATTGTTTGCATTTACGACTACGTACACTTGCTTATGGTTTATCTTCTTGTAATCAGAAATCATTGTGCGTCTTCTAGAGTTGTAGATTCTGAAAACACTTCTTCGTCTATCTTGCTGGGGTTTATGTTTTCGATCGGTATCAAGATTGATGCCTATTCTTGAATTAGCAGAGAAATAATTTAAACTAATCATAATATTTACGTGTAGATAACGAAGCCTTGTGAAGTTTGCGGAAGTAATGCCAATGATGATGATGAGATAATGACATGCTTCTTTTGCAGAAATACACGAGAACATACGTAAGATAAATTGTACCTCCTTTCCTCAATTAAGAAATAATTACTGTTTTAAAAAGGATCTTGATAATTTCCATTTTTTAAAATGTATATGCTTCAGTTATTGCTCGAGGGTGATGAAAGGAGCTGTTCCTCCAATGTGGATATGCGACGAGTGCATTTCCTCAAGATTTAATCAAGTTGTGAATAACGAAGCTCCTAATGATCAAGCTGCTGCATCATCAAGAAGTACTTATCAAGTTGTTGATAGTGAAGTTGTTCATGATCAGAACATGACTTCTGGCGACTCTGGTAATCAAATCTCAGCGACTCATGATCAACTTTCACAAGCACATGCAAGTCCAGTAGGTAATGAGAAACCAATCTTTTCAGCTTAAGTATCAATCAGTTCAGTTTCTCTTCTCTGTTTTTGATATAAAATTAAGAAACTGATCGATGTATATTTTACTTTGTTTATCGATGTTATATAGCTGAAGAAGCTGTGCCAATGGATACATCTTCAGGCGAGAATCAGAAGCCGCCCTCTGATTCGGAATCTGCAATCTAAAAATGCTTTCTTATCAGAGATGTTTTCGTAGCTTTAGCTTAACCATTGAGAGAGAGATATGGATTTTGGGTTGTTTAAAAAGCTTTTCTTTTTCTTGGGTCACAAGTCATTTTGATCGGACTTGTTTGATCCTGATTTGACTCATGATCTCTCTTTGTAGTTTGTACAATCTTCTTTTGTTGATTGAGTCATTGCACCTGTGAAGCTTTTTTTTTTTTTTTTTTTTTTTTGTCAAAGCACCTTTGAAGCTATATGACTAATTTTTTGTAGTTGTCACCAAAACATTGATTTATGCTTTGGAGAAAAGTTTATGGATATGTGATGCTATTGCCCTCTATTTTTTTACCATGTGGCAATTTTTTCATTAGATTACTAGTGATGTGTTTCTCAAACAATTTTGTTCCATGTTAATCTCTTTTAACTAGTGAGTTTGTTTTTCAAACAACTATTTTCCCTTTTTTTTTTTTTGATACAATATCAAACAATTATTCTCACAACTTACAATAATTATAAATTTATACTCTTGAGAAAAATAAAAAAGTATATTGGAGAAAAATACATGGTTAAGACTTAAGAAAAGCAGATATTCTTCATTTTTTTTTTATTGTTTTTTACTTTTGTAATTTAAAGGGTGGATGAATATATTTTCCATTAACATTAAATTTTGCTAAAGCTTTTTTTTTTTTTTTAACATCTCTAAAGCTTGTTTTTATAAATAAACGTGAGATTAATTCCCAATATTTAATTAAGAGAATTTGAAAATTCGATTTCGTATAAATGAAAAAAAAGAAAATCAATAATCAAGATTGGGGTTTGGGGAGAAGCAACAAAGAAGTGTTAATAAAAAAATTCGTCTTGGCTCTTCAAGAACACAAAAAAAAAAACTGATTCTTCGATTTCAAGAAAAAAGATCGAAAATTTGGTTTCAGTCGACGCCATTGAAGAACCTTTTGATTGATAAGAATGGTCTACGAAAGTGGGTACAAGCCTGGATCAGAAAATCCGACATTTACTTCAGATTTTAGCCTTTCAAATTCTCTTGTAAAACTGGTAAATCACATCTTCGCTTGCAATTTCTTGGTCTGGGTTTTCGATTTTATGAAAGAAAATTGCATCTTTATTGATTTTTTCTTGAATCTGGACTCTGTGTTATCAGAAATCAATGTGCGTCTTTTAGGGTTTCTTGATTTCTGAGTTTTTTTCTTTCTTTTTTTAATGTTCTTATGTTAAATTGAAAATTAATTTCCTCAATACCATGTCGTATGATTAGCAAGATGCGAATTTCTTTATACTGATCTCTTTTTTAATCTGCTACGTATATAGAAGAAGAAGCCTTGTGAAGTATGCGGAAGTGATGCCAATGAGCATTTGATGATGACTTGCTTCATGTGCAGAGATGCTAGAGAGCATACGTAAGAAATAAACAACACATTCAATTAGTTTAGCACAACTTACTCAATGATCTTGATTCACTTGTTTCTTGTGTGTTTGTCAGTTATTGCGCGAGGGTGATGTTACAACGTGTACCTCGTTTGTGGATTTGTGAAGAGTGCCGTGATTTCTCATCTATCGCCAACAAAACTGCTAATTCTCAAGTGGAAGAAGCTGCTCAACCATCAAGAACTATTATTCAAGTGGAACAAGTTGTGGTTAAAGAAGTTTGTATTGATCAAACTGTTCCATCATCAACAACTATTCAAGTTCCTCTTGATCAAACTACTCCATCATCAAGAACTATTGTGGATAACGAAAATTTGATTGAAGCTGCTGCTCCATCATCAAGAAGTAATCAAGTTGCTGATAACAAAGATTGGATTGAAGCTGCTGCTCCATCATTAAGGTCTAATCAAGTTGTGGAACAAGTTGTGCCTGTTGCTCCTCGTACTGATCATGAGTATATTACAGACGAATCAACTCCTGAATCATCCTCTCCGGTGTCTCCATGTTCGCTACGTGATGAAACCAATCTCTTTCACTTCAACTATCCTTCACTTTCTCTTCCTCCGTTGATGAAAAATTGAAGAAAACGATTTGTGTCTTTGGACTCATCAATGTCAGTGTTCAAGCCCATGTGGCAAAGATTTCCATTCAAACAACCACCACAGTACATTGATTCTGTCCTCTGATTCCGAATCTGAAGAGTAAATGCCTCATTTGAGAGAGACTCGTGTAGGGATTTAGGGTTCTTAAAGAGGCATTTGCTTTATTTTTTCTTGTGTCACAAGTCATTTTGCTAGCTAAGTGAGATTAGACTAGTTTGATCGACATTTGGAGTCATATACTATATGACTCATGTACATAACTAAATTATTAAAGCTAGGAGTCAAAAAAGGTCTCAAAACCTTCTTTTTTTTTCCCCTCCTAATTAAAAAGTTTAAAAGTTTTTGTTTATGGGTCTACCCAAAATCATACGAATCTCTTTATCTGAATCCCATTTATGAAAAATAGGCCATGAACACGAAGTTTCCTAGAAAGATGATAGAGGTACTATGATGACAATATATGGACTCATTAATCGAGGCTACCAATTATAGTAAACCTTCTTCTAGCTTTTTCCTGTATTGACATGACCCGTATTAAAAACTTCATTTATATTTTTCCTTTTTTTATAATAGCACTGCATTTCAAATTCTACACTAAGTAAAAATTCACCCACCCATTTTCTGAAGTTTATAAAACATGTTGAAAATCAAGAGAGTGACACCAAAAAATCCATAACTATAGAGATGAGTATTTTTTTGTATATAGATGAACAAAAATTGCCATGATCAACCATATTATGGTTGAATTTCCCAATAATAAAAATACACTTAACATTACCATAAAAGCTCAAACGTCTGAGTTATTATTATCTCCTCACTAGCACATGGGCTTTTTTGCATCTTTTTGATAATGATATAATATAAGGTGTCTCTTTAAAATTAAGTAAAAGATAAGGGATGATATCGCCAATATCAATATTTTCAGAGACTCAGAAAAAGATGATTGTCGTCTTCCTAGTTTCCCCTCTCTTCCCTCACCTTCCGCTCCACTCTCTTTCTCTCTCTACAGTGTTTCTTCCTTTTTCTTCAACGTCAAAAACTCACCGGCGGTTTCGATTTCACGGTAAGAAGTTGAATCGTTTGGTACCACATTCTGATTTTTCTCATCTCCCCTGCGTTCGTCGTCTATTTTTCTCTTTGTATTGATCATTTACTCTCTTAGTATTCCGTACTACGCAAGCAAAAAAAAGTTGCAGATACTTTCTCTTTGATGATTTTCTGAAATCTTCGCTCTTCGTTTTGAAGAAAGAACTAGTTGATTCTGTGTTTCGCTTTATCTGCATTCGTTGTCACGCGTTCCGTACTGTTCACCTGTGGGTTTTGTTAGGGTTTGGTATGTTCTTAAATCTAGGGTCACGATTATGGAACTTATCTACAGTAACATGGTTTTTTGTTGAGAATTGTTGGTTTTTAGCTTGGTTTTTAAGTTTCTAGTGGATAATCATCATCAATGGAGTTTGTGCTTTCATCATGAAGTTCTCTGAATCAGATTGTGAGAAGAGATTACCGATAACGTGTTTTATAGTCTCTGATTTTGTTTTTTTTGTTCAAGGTTGAGAATTTGTCATCAATCACAATGAGTCCTGGTCAGTTGCCTTCAGATTCGATCAAAGTAGTTCCTGGCAGGAGTAAGCTGAGGGTTGAATCTTCAAATCCAGTTCCCAGAGGGAATCCAACACCTAAAGCTTCAAAGGTGAAGCTGCTTTCACCGGAGGAAGCTATGAAACTTACATCTGGAGGCAATGGAATGGCGGTTTCTCCAGTTAAACCTGCTCGCGCAACTTCTCAAGTACCAAAACCTGTCCTGCCTCGTCGAAATCCTGAAGCACCAAGACCTGTACCGGCTCATGCAACCCCTGAAACACCGAGACCTGTCCCAGCTCGTCCAATTTCTGCAGCACCAAGCCCTGTCTCGGCTTGTCCAACTTCTGCAGCACCAACCCCTATCTCGGCTCGTCGAACTCCTGAAGCACCAAGACCTGTCCCAGCTCGTCCAACTTCTGAAGCACCAACAATTGTCCCGGCTCTTCCAACTTCTGCAGCACCAAGCCCTGTCTCCGCTCATCCAACTTCTGCAGCTCCAAGCCCTGTCTCGGCTCGTCCAACTTCTGAAGCATCAAAACCTGTCCTGGCTAATCCTGCAGCAGGTATTAGAAGAGAAATCGTTTGCGGTCTTCGAGCTTTGAGTATGACTACTACACCAGTGAGACAGAGAACCAATCCAAGTCTCCTTCAATCTAAGAAGGTTGAGCCTCCAAGTCCACGGGCGTTGCAAATTCGTTCAAGAGTTAAGCAACAAGCAGCTAATGCAACACAAGTTCAACAAGGTGTTATCTTTTGTTTCTCTTTTCTTTCTGAAAGCTAAAGATCCTAAACTTGTTTTGATCGGATGGCTAAAAAACTATTTCCTTTTCTCGCTTTCTCTAGGGACGATTGTGGAAGTTGGTGATAAAGCTAAAGATCATGGTTCCAAAGAGATACGTCAATCAGTCTCTGAGGAAGAATTGTCGGAATTACTTCTATATCTACCAGCTCAGAATCCTACCTGGAAGTGAGTTTCTTAACACTTCATAATCTTTTTTGAACTAAACATGTGTTTTGTTAGAAGCGTCAACCAGATCACTCTATATGCTAAATTGTTGCCATTACTCTTTCCCAATTTTACAACTTAGGGAAAGGTTGTGTAAATACCTTTTTTCATGTAGTGCTTAGCCTTGTTTGCATTTTTTTCAAGGAAATCCAGTGGCTCTTCCTTGCCAGAATGTTAAACAGTCCCTAATCTCTTTCACAGTTTAGGCATAGGCTACTTGTTGAAACTGGAGATGTGCAATGTAAAAACTTGCTGGGATTTCGAGAGCATGACCGTAATAACATTCACTGATGCCCATATTGCACTTTTCTTGTGACCTTTTTCGATTCCTATGATCTTTTGACCTTCACAAGTTACCAGCTCAGCAGTTCCTCTTTGCTTGTATATGTGATGAAATTTTCCTTTTAACCACTGTACCAGCGGACGCATTATGGATTCTGCCTCGCCTCCTGAGTTTGACTGCGAGTTTTGGTCTAAACCGGCATCCAATATCACAAGGATGGCACTCAGACGTTCAAAGGCAATGCCTGCATTACTCAAGGTCGAATTGCTTCCTACATGCCACATTCTGAATGATGTGTCTGGCAGAAGCCCAACGCTATTGAATGTCGAAATGTACCTTTTCCCAGATGAGAAGAAAACAGAAAGGTACTCAAAAACCCTTTCTATGAAGAACAAGCTTCTTATTCTAGCGGCATCTCTGTTATCAGCGAAAACTTATCAAATCAGGGAATGTACACTCATTCTTTTAGGTTTAAAGGGGAGCATGCTAATCTGTTTGAGGCAATGGCAACTCGCAGTGCCATGGCCAAAGCTAATATAAACGACACTGAGTTGTTGATATTCTCCTCGAAACTATTGGACAAAACCTCCCAATGTATGTATGCATACTGAATTTCTGCAGAGCTTTTAGTTTGTCCATACATTTTCTATGAATAACATCCGTTTTGTGTTTAGCAGTTGTCATCAATACGCAGAAGAAAACAGAAAACTTCCTTTGGGGTTTTTTTCTCCAGACAAAAAACTCACTAGGACTTGTACCAGAAACTGCTTCTCAAATTGATACAGATTTTGATGATGGGGATGTTGTTGACATGGACATAGACACTGAATGCCTGACCCCAAGTGTGGCTCTGAAGCTAATTACAGAATCACAAAACACTCCCTCAAGATCACCAGAGAAGGTGAACAGAGAAACAAGTTTACCTCCTGGTTTCGAGAAGATATGGACACCACCTTTTGTGAAACTTAATATACAAGGAACTTCAAACCCTCTATCTGATCTATCCGGATCGGCTGGAATAGTGCGTGATCAATCAGGGAAGTGGGTGTTTGGGTACATCAGGTGCCATAGGAGCATCCCTGAAGTCGCAGCTGGGCTTTTGGCTATATACCATGGCCTGAAATTTCTGTGGGACAGCGGTTTCCGAAGAATCCACTTGGAGACAACAAGCTTTGAGATCATCAATGCTCTAACAACAAGATCGTCCCTGTTTTGTAAAAGGAAAACGCTTCTGGGGTCGTGCAAGGACATGATATTGAAGGAGTGGGAGTGTGACATTTACCATATCTCCAAAGAACAGAACTCGTGTGCAGAATGGTTAGCAAAGAGATCAGAAGAACAGCCTCAAGAATTAGTTTTCTTCGAATACCCTCCTCGTGGCCTTGTGGATCTTCTGGAGAAAGACCGCCTTGCAGCTATATAGAGCTTCTTCAGCTTTGAGGTACACAGTCCCAGTGAACAGCTTAGGAGTACATATCTCGGATTTAGTAGTTTGACCTTTTGAAAATATTAGAAGAAGAAGAGAGAGATGGTTTGAGTGTTAATGTGACATCGTTGCATAGTCGTAACTCGTAAGTACAGTGGAGTTTCATTGTAACCACAGTTGAAGTACACAGACGTTTTTGTGATGTGAAGTGAAGAATCGATATAACTGTAGAGTTTCCCTCCAGATCAGTGTTGCTCCTCTTCATCTTTCGTTTAGGCAGTCTTAACAACACAATTAACAACAATTCAAAAAAACACAAAAAAGTTTACTAAACGATAAATTCGCCGTTTGCAGAAAATTGGGTTCAGTTTTTAAGCCGGTTCACCAATTTTAAATTGGTTTCTGCGGTTCAACCGGTCCTTGGTTCAAATAGAATTAGACTTGACTGGTTGAGATGCTAGGTTTCCCACTTTCCCTCCAAAGAATAAACAGGATAAAGAAAAATACTTTGAAGTTTGAAGCTTCTTCAGAGTTCAGACTTGAGAGTTGTGTTTTGTTTTTGCTTCTTGTTGACCCTTCAGCTTCTCTCACTGTTCTTCAAAAGATAAGACTGTCACATCTCCCGGAGATGACAATGACCGGCGAATCTTCCGGCAAGAAATGCGGAGACGGTGGCGGTAAAGTCGCCGGGAAAAGCCAGCGAAAGGTGGGTCTTGTTTATGACGAGACGATGTGCAAACACGACACACCTAACGGTGAGGTTGACGTAGAGTGTCCCGATCGCATCAGATTTATCTGGGAGAAGCTTCAGCTCGCCGGGGTCACCCAAAGGTTCATACTTTCCTCTCTCTTCCTGCGCCTTTGTTGTCATTTTGGCGATAAAGCCCTAGAAAATGCTGATATTTAGCCAAATTAATGATTCTCTTAGCTGAGAAACAGGTCTCGTTTTGTTTTTCCTTATTTGGCATGACATTTTACTTTCTCAATCTGAATTGTTTATTTCATAGATTCGAAAGATGCTGTTGAATTTATCTTATATAGGTAGGCGTTTCCTAACTTGGTTAACTGTTTCTTTTCCACTCAGAGACATTTCTTTTACTTGAACTTCTTCATAAATTGGTTACCTTTTGGTTATTGACAGTTTTGAGTTTGACTTATTTTTCTTATGTCTTATCTGGAGAAAGTTTCTATATTTACTAATCCTTTCTGGAATCTTTTAAATTATTTTTTTGTTCATAAGACTAACTATCAATTAGAGTAATGTGGCATCCCATTAGATGGCAAGGTAGAATCTAGTCTCTCGGGAGTGTATCCATCAAGAACTTTATTGGATTTTGCTGATCTGTACGGACAATGTTGGTCTTTCCTTTTGCAGATGTGTGGTTCTTGGTGGTAGTAAAGCGGAAGATAAGCATCTCAAATTGGTTCACACAAAGAAACATGTTAATTTCGTGAAGAGTATTAGCACAAAACAGAAAGATTCTCGGAGAAACAGGATTGCTTCAGTGTTGGATTCGATTTATCTTAATGGAGGTTCATCTGAAGCCGCATATCTTGCAGCTGGATCTGTTGTAAATGTAATACTAGATGCATACAAATTGACTCTCTCACATAGGAGGATAGAAAAATGTTAGAATGATTTGTTTTACGATTGGTAACAATATTTTCTTGCAACTTGGTAGGTGGCAGAGAAAGTTGCAGAAGGAGAGTTAGATTGTGGCTTTGCTATAGTGAGGCCCCCAGGACACCATGCCGAGGCAGATGAAGCCATGGGTTTTTGTTTATTCAACAATGTAGCCGTTGCTGCTAGTTATTTACTAAACGAAAGAGTAAGACTTTTGTGATACTTTTAGTGTCTTTTACTTATTATTCTTTAGTCACATTCCTTTGGTGTGTTTGTTCTCATGTTCGTTTGCTTTCTTCAAATGCAGCCGGATCTAGGTGTCAAGAAAATTCTGATTGTTGATTGGGATATCCATCATGGAAATGGTACACAGAAGATGTTCTGGAAAGATCCTCGCGTACTGATATTCTCTGTTCATAGGTATGTATTTGCAACCTCTGTATACTCTTCTTTCCAAACTACTATTTCACATGATCTTTGTTGAGGTTTAAAGTGGCTGGAAATGCATACGTGGCTAGGTATGATCACGGAAGTTTCTATCCAGCGAGTGATGATGGAGATTATAACATGGTTGGGGAAGGTCCAGGTAAAGGGTTTAACATAAACGTTCCATGGGAGCAAGGAGGATGTGGAGATGCAGATTATCTTGCCGCATGGGACCATATCTTGATTCCTGTGACTAAGGAGTTTAATCCCGATATTATTTTGCTTTCAGCTGGATTTGATGCAGGTTTGTATGTCTACGTATTTGTTTCAAGGCTATACTATGTAAGAGGTGTGTAACCTTTTTAACTTTCCCTTAACAGCTATCGGTGATCCGCTTGGGGGTTGTTGTATTACACCAGATGGATATTCAGTTATGTTGAAGAAGGTTGGTGTTAAAGGGTCTCTAATACCACTGAAAATAACAAATCTACATAATCTACACTTGGATTTGACATCATTGAATTTTTTCACCAATGTTATTTTAGCTAATGGAGTTTGCACAAGGAAAGATAGTGCTGGCGTTAGAGGGAGGGTACAATCTTGAGTCATTGGCAAAGTCTTCACTCGCATGTGTCCAAGTTCTGCTTGAAGAAAAAGGAATTCAATGTTCTTCTGGAGCATACCCATTAGAATCTACACGGCGTGTCATAAGAGCGGTATGGCTCTATATCATCCTATTTTCTAACTTTCTCATTTGACAGTCTGAAACAATCTTGTATGAATTAGCTACTATTTATTTTTCCAGCATAGTTTTTCCATAGTGCCTATGTTACTAGTTGACAAAACTCATCTGTTTCTTGTGAGTTTAGGTACGCGAAAGACTATGCACATATTGGCCTTCACTTGCAGATGAGCTATCATGTAAGCTGATTGATCAGAAAACTCTTACTCCAGTTGGGCACCTTTCTTCTTGTCTACCATTTCCATCTTCATTTTTCGTTGGCCGTGAGTTTATAGTTACTGGCGCAAGGACAGAAGGTCCTAACCTGACCGTGCTTCCCTCCTTAGAGCCTAGAAGCACCAGTCATCTTTCGCCACACTCGCATCTTTCTGTCACCAACAAAAGAAAAGCTCCTGCCTCTGGTTTGACCTCAAGCTATCGTTTCTCAGAGTTGGAGGATGTTATGGTGGAGAAGGTTCTTCCGTCTTTTCAAGAAGAGGTCATGGGTATGGAATTCCAGGATTGCATCGCTTTCGGCAAAGAAATTTCCTACAAGGTAAGTCAAGCTTCAGCCTTCGTCCCTCAACTTGTTGTTTTCCCTTCCTGGGATTAATTTGCATTCCCTTTCAGGGTTTTTGATGTTTGATCACTTTTTCAGGAGAATAGAGAGCTGAGGTACAATGTTTTTGCTGCTTCTGATACATTGATGACGTCTAATGAGAATTTAAAGAACCTAAGTGCGGACAAAAACCCTGCTGACGCTATCCTTCATGAAGTGGAAGAGTTAAAGTCTCTATGGGCTGCACGAGATGGAGAATTGGAGGCAAGGAGAAAAGAGTTAAAGGCCAAAAAGATGGAGCTAGAAACGTGGCTAATGTTGGTTGGCGCTCGAGAAGATGAGTTTCGTGGTCTTCGTGCCAAAGTAGAGAGTTTGATGCGGGAGCGAGATGAGGCGGTAGCGAAAGCTGAGCGCCTAGATAAGGAACTCCAAGAAGAAAGGCCAAGAAGCCGACTTGAGAATGAAGAAATGGATATGGACTCAGAAGATGAAGACATGGACATGGACTCAGAAGAACTCGAACACGATCTCAAAACCATGTCTAGGGAGTTCAAGAAAGACATAAACCTTGTCTTCGAGAAGTTCAAAAAAGACAATGAGCTTTTCATTGGGGAGTTAAAGAAAGAAAGGGAGCTTGCCATCACCGCAGCAGTTATCACCACTCGGTATCAAGTATGTCGCGAATGGAAGAGCCAGGGTACTCTAAGTTTGGAGCTTAAATTTGCAGCAGAAGTATACCACAAGCTCCGCTCTTTGATTGAAAAGCGCGGGAAGAGCCACATTTACGCAACTGTAGAAATGTATGAGGAGGAGTGGAAGGAGTTTGTTGGTCCTCGTCATCACCCAACAGTAACAGTAAAGAGTAAAGACTAAGCAGGTTAGATAGAATATTAGAAGAAGAAGAGATCTTTTTGTACAGTGGAGTGTCACTGTAGCTACAAAAGCCCTTTTTGTAAATTGTAACTGTAGCTACAAAAGCCCTTTTTGTAAATTGTAATTGTAACCAAACGATGTGTACTTGTCAACAAGTAATGCGGTTCACTGGCTTCTGCGGTCAATCAGCTAATGAAATCCGGTTCACTGGCTTCTGCGGTCAATCAGCTAATGAAATCCGGTTTAAAATCGTTGATTCTAGCAAAATGTGACGTGTCACACTTTGATTGGTTGAGAGACTTAGGTTTCCCTCCAAAGAATCTCCAAAATGGTCAAACCTATTAAAAAAAAAATAAAGGAGATGGAAAATATATAAAAATAAAATTGAAAAGTTAAAAAATACTTGGAACTTGGAAGCTTCCGAAGCTGAGAGCAGCAACGCTTGACCTTTCACTTTTCGAACGATAGACTTGTCTCATCTCCCGGTTATGGCTATGGCCGGAGAATCTTCCGGCAAAAAGTGTGGAGACGGCGACGGTAGAGTCGCCGGGAAAAGCCAGCGAAAGGTGGGTCTTATTTACGACGAGGCGATGTGCAAACACGACACACCTGACGGCGAGGATCACCCTGAGTGTCCCGATCGCATCAGAGTTATCTGGGAGAAGCTTCAGCTCGCCGGAGTTTCTCAAAGGTTCATACTTTCTTCCTCTCTTGCGGCTTTGTTGTTTGTTTGATAATAAAGCCCTAGAAAATGCTCAAATTGGGTATTTTCTGATTCTATCAGCTGAGAAACTGGTCTCAATTTGTTCTTCCTTGTTTGTTATGAGTTTTACTTTTCTCAATTTGAATTGTGTATTTCATAGAATCAAAAGGTTCGTAACTGTAACACTTCATAAATTTGGCTACCTTTTTGCTTATGTTCGGTCTTGTGTTCGAGTTATTGCATATATAAATTTTTTTTTAATTTTTCATATATGTTTGAGTTTCACTCATAACATTATTAATTAGAGTAATGTGGCAGCCCATGAGTTAGAGAAGGTGGAATCTAGTCTTTGGGATGTGTATCCATCACAATTTGTTTTTGGATTCGGATGAAATGACATTCTATGTATGGACAATTTTGGTCTTCCTTTTTGCAGATGTGTGCTTCTTGGTAGTAGCAAAGCGGAAGATAAGCACCTCCAATTGGTTCACACAAAGGACCATGTTAATTTAGTTAAGAGTATTAGTACAAAACAGAAAGATTATCAGCGAAACAGGATTGCTTCACAGTTGAATTCGATTTATCTGAACAGAGGTTCATCTGAAGCAGCATATCTTGCAGCTGGATCTGTTGTAAAGGTAATAATACTAGATGATTTGTTTGTTTCTACGATAGTAGGGTATATTATAAACTGTTAGAATGATTTGATTGAAGATGGGGTAACAACATTTTTCTTTCAACTTAACAGGTGGCAGAGAAAGTTGCAGAAGGAGAGTTAGATTGTGGTTATGCTATTGTCAGGCCCCCAGGGCACCATGCTGAGGCAGATGAAGCAATGGGGTTTTGTTTATTCAACAATATAGCCGTCGCTGCTAGTTATTTACTTAACCAAAGAGTAAGGACTTCTACTGTTTGTGATGTCGTTAGATTCTTTTGATTACTGTCAACTTCTTTGGTCACATTCCTTTGGTTTACGTGTTCCCAACTTCTTTGCTTTTCTTGAATGCAGCCGGATCTAGGGGTCAAAAAAATTCTGATCGTTGATTGGGATGTCCATCACGGAAATGGTACACAGAAGATGTTCTGGGAAGATCCTCGTGTGCTATTTTTCTCTGTTCATAGGTATGTAATTGTGACCCTTGTTTACTCTTCATTTGATGTCGCTTGCCATGATTTAAGGAGCCTATTGTTGACTCTATTACCTACCCCTTTAATTGGTTTTTATGCTTGGAAAGTAACTAGAAATGCATTTGTGGCTAGGCATGAGTATGGGAGTTTCTATCCAGCGGGTGATGATGGAGATTATAACATGGTTGGGGAAGGTCCAGGTGAAGGGTTTAACATAAATGTTCCATGGGATCAAGGACGATGCGGAGATGCAGATTATCTTGCTGCATGGGACCATATCTTGATTCCTGTGGCTAGGGAATTTAACCCGGATATTATTCTGCTTTCAGCTGGATTTGATGCAGGTAACATGGTTTAAGCTTTTTTTTTTAAGCTGTGTCATGTTGAGAGTTGTGTAACCTTTTCAAATTCCTCTTACCAGCTATTGGTGATCCGCTCGGGGGTTGTCGTGTGACCCCATATGCATACTCAGTTATGTTGAAGAAGGTTGGTGTTGAAGTGAACTCCCTCTTTTGTCCATTATATGTATTTGCGTTCCATCGATGTCCATCACTGAAAATAACTCTTCTGGGTTTAGCTGGTTGTTTATCCCTGAGCTACATAATACTTAAAGTTGCATTTAATATCATTCGGTTTCATCAATGTTCTCTCAGCTGATGGAGTTTGCACATGGAAAGATTGTGATGGCGTTAGAGGGAGGGTACAATCTTGACTCAATTGCAAAGTCATCACTTGCATGTGTCCAAGTTTTGCTTGGAGACAAACAAATTCATGGTTCTTCTGAAGCATACCCATTCGAGTCTACATGGCGTGTCATACAAGCGGTATGGCTCTATATCATCCTATCTTTTAACTTTCTCATTTCACAATCTGAAACAACCTTCCATAAATTGGCTGTGATTTCTCTTTCCAGCCCAGTTTTCGGTCATAAGTATTATGTAGTGCCTATATTACTAGTTGACTAAACTCATCTGTTTCTTGTGGGTTTAGGTACGCAAGAGGCTATGCGCATATTGGCCTTCACTTGCAGATGAATTATCGTGGAAGCTGATTAATCAGAAAACTCCTACTCCAGTTGGGCACCCTTCTTTTTGTCTATCATTTCCATTGTTCATTGTTCATCAGAGAGCGTTTCCTTGGCAGATCGGATTTCGAAAAACCTCACTATTTTTTTCACTTAGCAACCACTTCTTAACTTCTTTGCTTCAATACTAATTTTCCTCTGCTTGATCTTCTTTTTTCGAGACAGTCTTGGCATTTCTTATCACAGTTTTTTTTTTTGTTCATTATATAGATTATCCTTATCTCAAGCTCCGACTCTGATAATGAAGACGACGCCCATGGACTCCTGGATCAAATGTCGAAACTCAACATAGAAAACCACCAAGGTACACTACTTGAAAACCACCAAGTAGATACTGCATCTACATCTTGGAGAGCTGATCTCGCAAATGTTGACGTTTGGTATGCCTCTTTTGGATCCAACATGTGGAAACCAAGGTTTCTTTGCTATATTCAAGGGGGACAGGTAAGTGATTCTGTTTTGTTATTTTTGGGGTCGTGTCTGAGCTTTGGTCTTAATCGACACATCTATGGTTGTTTGTGTTTATTTTCAGGTCGATGGAATGAAAAAGACATGTGTTGGCTCAATGGATAAAAGTCCACCAAAGGAAATAGTGTGGGAAACATTTCCACATAGATTGTTCTTTGGCCGTGAATCTTCAGTTGGTTGGGGTGTAGGAGGAGTTGCTTTCACCAACCCCCTTGCTAATCTCATTGATCAAACTCACATGTGTTTGTACCGAATCACGTTAAGTGTACCACTCTCTTCATCTCAGTTTCCGTTCACTTTCCCTATTTTATTCATTTGGTGATCTTTTCTACTTATTCACTATGGTTGGTTTTTTGTGAACAGGCTTGAGCAGTTCAACGACGTTCTGTCTCAAGAAAATGGCTTGAATGTAGATTCAGATTCTCCGGTCTTTGATCTAGCTTCTTTGCAGTTAGTAGAGAACAAAGGATCCATTTTAGAAGCTGCTTTGGTTAGTCAGATGACAAATGTTGATTGATACGCTTATAGAAACATGTAATAATCACACTTACACTCGTTTATCGACATTTTTACAGAATAGTTGGTATGGAAATGTTGTCTGCTTGGGGAAAGAACACGACATTCCTATCCTTACAATGACGTAAGCTTTCATCATTCTTTTTCTTTTGCTGCTCATAAGCCAAGTTAAACTGCTAGACGAATAATCGCTTGTAACTCTTTTTTTTCCTGAGGTTTCTCAATAACTTTGTGTTTGCAGTTGCACGCTTTCTGCTGTTGAGAAGTTCAAATCCGGTGAGATCCCTCTAAGACCTCCTGCAAAAGCCTATGCCAACACTTTAATAAGAGGACTTGTGGAAGGAGGAAGATTCTCTAAAGAAGAAGCTGAGGCTTACATAGACAATGCTGTGTCTAAACCTCTCTAGTGTATTATTTACTCAGAAACCGCCCTTTTGATCACGATATGGAGCTTTGGGTTTCTGAGTTATTCAATTAGGATTAAAACCACAGGTTAAGAAATATTGGGAGACTTTTGAATTTGTCTTTTGAAAGAGAGGATTGTGTCATCTTTTAGCTGTGTTGTGCTTCGAGTTTGCTCCCTAAGCAAACACTCTAAGTCTCTTATGTATCTCAGTTATCTTCGGCTTTAGGGTTTACCGAGAAGCTGTATTCGGTCTAGTTTATGGTTTGTGTAGGCCCCGGTTCTTGTTTGCCGGTTCAGATTGCATATTAATTTCTGAAATTCGGCTTTGTATTGATGTTTGTTTGGTTGTTTTATGGAATTCTTGTTTTCCCAATTTCTTATTTCGGTAAAAAAAACAAAAAAAACAAAAAAAAAACATGATATGTATATATATAAACCTTTTAAAGATTATATCGGGCGGCTATAAAAGATTGAATTTTCGCTATGTCTGAAAATTTCCGAGAGAAAAGTTCTTATTCTCCGGAATGGTAATGTGAAGAGTTCTGGTCAAACCTATTAAAAAAAGAGAGAATGGAAAACAAATATAAATAGAAAATGAAAAGTAAAAATACTTTGAAGCTTCAGAAGCAAAAGATTGGACATTTTCACTTTTTTTCTCCCTGCTCGTCGAACGATAGACTCTCTCTCATCTCCCGGATATGGCCATGGCCGGCAAAAAATATGGAGACTGTGACGATAAAGTCGCCGGGAAAAGCCAGCAAGTAGATAGCGCTTCTACATCATGGAGAGCTGATCTCGCAAAGGTTGACGTTTGGTACGCCTCTTATGGATCCAACATGTGGAAACCGAGGTTTCTTTGCTATATTCATGGGGGACAAGTAAGTAACCTTGTTTCGTTTTTTGGAGTCTGAGCTTGTGTCTTAATTGGCACATGTATCTATCGCTCTTTGTGTTTATTTTCAGGCCGAGGGAATGATAAAGTCATGTGTCGGTTCAAGGGATAAAAGTCCACCCAAGGAAATAGTGTGGAAAACATTTCGACATAGATTGTTCTTTGGCCGTGAATCTTCATTTTTTTGGGGTGTAGGGGGAGTTGCTTACACCAATCCCCTTACTAATCTCAAAGATCAAACTCACATGTGTTTGTACAGAATCACGTTAAGTGTTCTTCATCTCACTTTCCATATTTGATGATCTCTTCTACTTATTCATTATGGTGTGGTTGTTGTTTTTGTGAACAGGCTTGAGCAATTCAACGACGTTCTGTTTCAAGAAAATTGGTTGAATGTAGATTCAGATTCTCCGCTCTTTGATCTAGCTGCTCTGCAGTTAGTAGAGAACCAAGGATCCATTTCACTTGTACCTGCTTCGGTTAGTCAGCTGATAACAAATGTTAGTTGCTTGATACGCTTATATATAGAAACATGCAGTAATCACACTTAACCCGTTGACATTTTTTCAGGATAGTTTGTATGGGAATGTTGTCTGCTTGGAGAAAGAACGCAACATTCCTATACTTACATTGACGTAAGTTTTTAATATCAGAAACAGAGTTAAACTGCTAAGCGGATGCTCTCTTTCAACTTCATTTTTTTCCTGAGGTTTCTCAATTATAACTTTGTGTTTGCAGTTGCACGCTTTCTGCTATTGAGAAATTCAAATCCGGTGAGATCCCCCTAAGACCTCCTCCAAAAGCCTATGCCAACACTTTAATAAGGGGCCTTGTGGATGGAGGAAGATTCTCTGAAGAAGAAGCTAAGGCTTACATAGACAATGCTGCGTCTAAACCTCTCTAGTGTGTATTATTAACCAAGAAACCGCCCTTTTGATCACCATTTGGGTTTCTGAGTTATTCAATTAGGATTAAAACCACATTGTGAGACTTTCGAGTTTGTCTTTTGAAAGAGAGCATGTGTTTGCTCCCTCTGGCTCTGTATGTATTTTAGTTATCTTCGGTTTTAGGCTTTACCGAAAACACGATTATATGCCATCTTTTAAAATATTATAATTACAGTTTACAAAATTTGGCATAAGAACGAAAATAAAAATTATGCAAACATTTAACATATTGGAGACTATTTTTCTTCTTCTTATAAGTTATAACTATAGTTAATAAATATTATTAACGTTAATCGTTTAAAAATATCTGTCTAATTAACTTGTAAATCCGAGTCTATTTTGTAACTAACTTTTAAGTTCTGTTATTGTGTCTGTAGCACTTGAATTATTTTGTTAAATATGTAAAACTTTTAAGTTTGTTTGCTTTTTCAACAAATTGTTTTATTTTTCTTTTCAGCAACCTTTTAATTAATTAATAAATCAGAGATATTTGGGAATTTAATAACCTTACAGTTTTCTCACTAACTTGCCGTATCGTCGTCTTTTTGTCAGCGACGAAGATAATGAAAAATAAAACACAGAGCCGTTCGTCCGTCTATATGTTTTGCTGATTCGATTGTACCAACTTCCGACAAAGATTCCGATTGTTCGATTTCTTATACCTTGAGCTTCTCCATTGGTTCATTGATCATTTCTTGAAGCTACACAAGCAAGGTCTCTCCTTTTTTTCTTTTTTTTTTTTTTTCTTTAGTTCGGTTTTTTGCAAATTGCAAGTTGCAAATTTCACCTAAAGGAAAGGGTACACGTTGTTACTGCTCCTCACCTTATCCCTGACGGAAAAATCAAAGCTTTCTCTGGGTTTTGCTCAGTAGTAATTCGATTTCCGCATAGTTTTGGTACAAAGTGGAGGGTTTGGGCATTGCTCTCGACCTGATTCCTGCGTTTAATATTCGGGTTTTTAGGTCTCTCCTTGAGGTTGCTTGTGTTGAATTCGTTTGGGAATTTCTCAAGTGCCCGTTAACTCTTGTCGATAGAGTTCTTGACAGTTAAAGCCCTGAGCTTTCAACTTCGTTCATTGGATTGGTGTTTGAATTGGAATGGAGAAGGAGAGATTTTACTGTTATTTTTTGGGTTGCTCTCTTGATTCTTGAAGGCAAGAGAGGACGAAATGGATATTTGGTTGATCGCAGCTACTGCTGCTACGGGATATATAGCTAAGCAATTGCAGAATGTAACCAAATGTAAAGATAATGTTCTTGAATCTTCTTCTGAAGATGTGAAGCCAGAATCTCCTCCTGGGTGCTTGCTTAGCAGATTGGTAAGAGTCAAGAATGCTAATGAAAACAAATTTCGGGATGAGAAAATGATATCGGATGGGGAAACTCTGGATGCATCTACGAGTGGAGAGAATTTGGGATATAAAGAAACTAACCGTTCAGATACTTTGTTCGGTTTGATGCCCGAGTTCTCTGAGATTGAACATGGGAATTGGAAAACCAGTGGTACTCTTGCAGGTGACACACAGTTGAATTCTTCATTTAGGAGAAACCAGCGGTTCAGGCGATTAGCCAAACCTTTGAGTTCGATGGATAGCTGCTTAATGTCTCGGTTTCATAGAGAACAAATGACCATGGAAGATTACATGACTAGCCCATTTCCATCACCACACGTTTTAGTTTCAAGGCCATTACTTGTGACTGATGGTACTCGAGTAATTAGCAAGAGCGCTGCAGATTCTTTGTGGCTGAGCCAACATATTATTCTCAATGAAGATAACTCTACACAAAGTTGCGGAATCCCCTGGTTGGATTCTTCCGTTGAGAGAAGGAGAAGAGTGGGAAATGAGAAGACCAAGAGTAGAAAACATGGTAAAGTTGTTGAAATCTTTAACTTGTAACTATTTATACTAAATAATTGAAAAGACTGTCCATGGCACTTAAGTTTCTTTTTTTCAGGAAAAGGTGAAGCAACAATGTTGCTACAAATCGGGATTTCGATTGGCATCATATCCTCGTTCATGGCAAGCCAAGCCGAAGTGAGCAAAGTCAAACAAGAGCTGAAGCAAACAGAGAACTTGGTGCATGATTTAGAAGATGAGCTTGAGATGAAAGACTCGTTGATAGTGAAGGAGATAGATATTGAAAAGGCAGCTGACAATTCAGAATCTATAAGTAATATTGAAGCAGAGCTTGAAGCTGAACTTGAAAGGCTAGAAATTAACATGAACTCCTCCAACATTGAGACAAGACTCTCTGATATGATAGAGGTGTGTTGTCTACACTTTTAACTATGCTCTTTACTTTCCCTTGCCTGAATCACCAAAACTTAAACAAGATGTTCAAAGTTCAGTTTTGTAAGCTCTACTTTGATTTTTGTTGCAGATGGAGCCGGATTGTGAGGTAGAATTTGCACAGGGTGAACTCAGAGCTGATCGGGTTAAAGGGAAGTGTTTAGATGAAACTGAGTCCAACCAAGACCCAAGTGGTAACTCCACACCTGAATCGGGAAACTATGCAGTCTCACCTTGCGAGTTGAGCTTGCGGTTGCATAAAGTTATCAATTCACGCCTTGAGCAACGGATTGAAGAGCTCGAGACTGCACTCCAAGAGAGCCAAAGGAAGGTGGAGCAGCTGGTCATGGAATCAGAGAGCAAGAAGACGTCATGGTCAAGGTTATGGGATACCCGTGAAGTGATGACATGTAAGAGTGACTCGAAAATCCCAGTTGCTATTGAGCACACCAAGACTAATCTTGCTGAGATGCAACCCCTGGTTATGAACTTAACTGGGGAAGCACTTGATGCATTTAATGACTCTTACGACGAATTGATGAAAATAAACGATGACTCGGAAGATTATGATGATGGTGATTCACCGTTGGAGATGCAAGAGAGCGGGATTCACCAAGAACATTTCTCTTCAACAAACAAAAGCTCACCTTGGAGCCATCAGAAGGACGATTTCAAGGTGCAGGAGCAGGAGCTACTAGACCTTTTTGGTATTGAAGACGAAGAAGAAGAAAGCAATGACTTTGAGAGTGAAATGCAGAAGCAACTGATAAAGCAGATCGTTGAGAAAACAAAACAAGGGTCTCCTGTTGTGTTGAATGCTCAGAAGATGCTGTTTCTCATGGAGGAAACTGAACATAATCTGTAACATTAGGCAGCATTAGAGTTTTGCGTGGATGGAATTCTTAAGGTCTGGTTAGTATGTAGACCACAAGCAAAGTTGAAACAAAGCTCACTTTTTTTGTTCAAATTCAATGTATACCTTAAGAAACAATCTCAAGCTACAAATTATATAAAGATAGCAAAAGCAGATTGTTTCTCGATAAAGTGTTGAATTCAGGAAGCAATGTAGAATAGCTACTAATAATCATAGGTTTTAATATGAAAAGACAAGTCTTGACAACATTTTTTGCTAGTTGCTTCAAGCTCTTTTGGCAATGTCATCTTCGAAATCACCACCTACTGGTCCATTCTCCATCTTCATTTCACCATTCTCCATGCTTCCAAATTGATCCTCACTGCCAGATTGGCCACCAGCAGCAAACTGAGTACTGTCACCACCGAACTGAGAGCTGTTGCCAACAGGGCTTCCTCCAAACTGGCTATCTCCAGCGAATCCACCATTGCTGCTACCATAAGTATTGGCACTACCATAACCACTACTTCCATTATAGACACCAACAGCACCTGCACTTGCACTGGAACCCTCACCATACGTGTTGCCGCTAGATCCAAAGCCACTGCTTGCACCATATCCACCACCACCTCCGTGACCAGTAGCATCACCTCCATAGCCACCAGCACCACTGCCTCCATAGCCACCAGCACCACTGCCCCCATAGCCACCACCAGCATTACCTCCGTAGCCACCACCAGCAATACCTCCGTAGCCACCAGCACCATCTCCATAGCCCCCACCAGCATTACCTCCGTAGCCACCAGCACCACCTCCATAGCCGCCAGCAGTTCCACCTCCATAGCCACCACCACCACCATAACCGCCACCACCGCCTCCGTAGCCACCACCTCCAAAACCGCCACCACTAGTTCTATCATTTGCATAATTTACTTTAACGACCCGGCCATGGAGATCCTGAGGAAGGATTAAGGTATTGGATCAAAAAGAGGGAAGATTATCAATGAAAGTTAAACCCAACGAGACACGTGAAAGCATCACAGACATTATTACTCTTTGAAAGGTTTCATAGATCAGCAATAGAACTTACCCGGCCATCCAAAGCCTGGATAGCACTAGAGGCCGCTTCTGAAGAGGTGAATGTAACAAATCCAAATCCCCTCGACCTACCCGTTTCACGATCCAAAATAACCCTAGCTGTGTAAAAAACCATAGAGACTGGGTTAGCAGAAGGCAACTAAACAAACCATACTCAAGAACCATGAGCCTATTCATTAGTTCACTAACACACTGCAATAACATTTGACAAGAATCCTAAAACAGATGAGTAACTTACTTTCAACGACTTCACCGTATTTGGTGAAAGCTTCTCTTAAGCTATCCTCATCCATGCTATAAGCCATGCCTTGCAACAGAACGAAAAACTGATACAGTTAGTAACAAATAACAAGTAAACAATTCTTAGTTTCAAGGGCTATACTCACCTCCAATGAAGAGCTTAGAAGATGACATGCACCTTATCGCTTGAAAAAGCGAAGGGCTTGATAAAGAAACCTGAGCATTGAGTTGTTTGCTTGTGGTCTGCTTCAATATGTTCCCGAATTTACTCAAAAAAGCCATCCCAATTAGATATCTAACATGAAAACACAAATAATTTAGCCACCAGATAGTCAATTTAAAGTAATGGTCATATCATTTCCTATTTCCTATCAAGAAGTTGGCAAGTTTCATCCTTTTTGTGTATCTTAAAAACGACAATTCAAATCTATTTTTAATTCACACTCTGCAAATACCTAAACTATTAAGCAACCAAAAAGTGAATTCAAAAATCGAAACACAAAGATCGGAACCTATATCCATGAAAATGAACAGCGAACAAGTAACAGAGATGACTCAAAATCAGAGAAGAAAGAACCTTTAAGAATCGAAGCTGAAAACTTTTAGGGTTTATGAGAAAGAAATGAGCGTGATTTCTCTGTGATTTCTCGCTTCTCTTAAAACTTAAAACCCTACTTGTCCCAGAAAGGGTTTATGTAGCGAAGTTGCAAGATCTAAGTAAATCGTGACCGTTAAATCTAAAGTAATTTGGGGAAAAACAAAGATCATCCACGTAAGGCTTTTTCATTGGGACGTCATTTCTTTTACGTGACTGCCCTGTAGCTATAATTAACAAATATAACCTTTTTTGGTTTTTAAACGAAAATAAAGAAAGGAGAATTTGAAGATTAATTAGCCTAATTCTAGAAAGATTTTGTCGAGTTTAAACCCTTTTCATACATACAAGTTTGATAAAGTATAATAATTAAAAAGAAAAAGAAAAAGAAAAATAGTTTTTGTAACTGGGCCTTATCCTCTTCAAAACTGTCTTTTGTAGAGCCCATTTAGATTGCTGAGAGTGAAACCCGACTCACATTATTTTGACCCGATAGTGAATGGGTTTGACCCGAAACATGAAATACTCAAAAAGTTGTTGCTTTTAGGGTTTTGTGGTCTCCGCTAGTCAGTCGTTTACTCTCTCTCACACATTTTCGCTTCTCTCCAACAAGTAGTTTCCGCCGCTAAGCCACTCACTACGCAGCCATGGCGAATCCTGACCGTATCCTTCATTTTCTGTTTCCATTGTGTTCGCTTTAAGAGTATCTGTCAAGGCTTTCTTCTCGGAAAACGAAAAAAAGATTTCCTTTTGTTCAAAGGGTTTTACATATTAGTTAGTTTCTTGATTCTAGCTGGATCTATTGTTAGTTCTTTTGACACTCTTGCTTTTCTACGATGGATTTAGATCTTCTTCGTTTTTTTTTAAATTTTCTTCTGTCGTTCATAAATTCTTCAACTTTTAGGGTTTATGAAGAATTGTCTTGTTGATTTCCTTGTAGATCTGATGTTTTGATTCGAGAAAAGTCATAAATTTTGTTATTCCTTCATTGTTTTATAGATGTTTCAGATGTGCTCCACAATTTGTCTATTGATCCAGCAACCAAGGTTTTAGCTCCTGATTCTGAAACTAAGGTATTGTTGTGCTCACCTTTTGTTTAGTGTGATTCAAAAAGCATTCCTTTTGGTTTCAATAAGAGTCACTTTCAGAGTGAACTTATAAAGTCTAGTGTACATTTTACTTGCAGGGGGCTTTTGGCGGAAACGGTAATGACTTCTTGCTCAATGGTGACTTAGTGGAGGCTACCAAAAATGGGAAACCTAGTCTTTTGTCTAAAGATGGAGGTTTGACCAAAGACAAGGGATCAAACCTGAAGAAACTCGGGTACCAAAGCTCAGCTTATAATGCAAAGGGTTCGTATGGGAAGGGTGCCTACTCTTATGGGTACTATTCCCCAGCATATCAGTTCCCAAGATATGGTTACAGTGGGAGCTATGCTTCTGGAAAAACCAATCTTCAATATCAGTACCTGGTATGTTCTTATTTCATTCATTCAGCTGTAGTCGTAATCACTTTATATGTAATCTTGACTTGTTTATTGGTTGATTTATTATTATCTTATGTTGCAGACTCAGAATGGAAGATCAGCTGGTACAGGTCAATCTTATGGAGGATACATGGACAACATTTACTCGAATTATGGGGTGTGTGGTCCTTACACGAATGGCTATGGGTATGGCTCCTTCGGTTATGACTCATGGAAATACATGCCCAACTGGTATGCGGTTAACAATACCTACAAGACCAGAAATGGGTTTCATGGATATGGCAAAGAAAACATTGAGGGATTAAATGAGCTGAATAGAGGTCCACGAGCTAAGGGTTTCAGCAGCCAAGATGGTTCCAAGGTGATGACTGTGTCTTCCAAGGAGCAGAGAGTGACTGAGACTGAGAATCTCAGTGAAGATGTGTCTCTTTTAGATCCCAAGGACTACAACAAGATAGATTTCCCTGAGACCTACTCAGAAGCAAAGTTTTTTGTAATCAAATCGTACAGTGAAGATGATATTCATAAAAGTATCAAATACAGTGTTTGGTCCAGCACTCCTAATGGTAATAAGAAGCTGGATGCTTCATATAACGAGGCAAAACAGAAGTTAGATGGTTGCCCCGTGTTTCTACTTTTCTCTGTGAGTGAATATAAAACTTTCAATAATTCGTCGACCTCTGCTTTGTATTTCAATTTTACTAGTAGAGTTTTTATGTTTTCATTGATTTCACAGGTAAACACGAGTGGACAATTTGTTGGTTTAGCCGAGATGGTAGGCCCTGTTGATTTCAATAAGACTGTTGAATACTGGCAACAGGACAAATGGATTGGTTGCTTCCCTGTTAAGTGGCATTTCGTTAAAGATATTCCTAATAGCTCCTTGAGGCATATAACTCTGGAGAACAATGAGAACAAGCCGGTTACAAATAGCAGAGACACACAGGAAGTATGTCTACTCTCTGTGTTATCTATCACCTTTTGGATTATAACAATTGATCTGTAATTTATTTCTCACCCACAATGACCATTGTTTATGTCTGCAGGTAAAGCTAGAGCAAGGCGTTAAAGTCATCAAGATTTTCAAGGACCATGCAAGCAAGACATGCATCCTCGATGATTTTGTGTTCTACGAGAATCGTCAAAAGATTATCCAAGAGAGGAAAAGCAAACACCTGCAGATCAAAAAACAGGCAAGAATCCTCTCTAAAACCAACAATCTTTTGATCAATATATATATAACAGGAATATCTTACAAATTTTGCTATTGTTTTCAAGCAGACGCTGGTGGCCAATACAGACAAAAGAGACAGCAGTGTAATGCCAAAAATTAATATTGTGAAACCTCAAGAGTCTACGACAGCCTCAGAAGATACAGCAGCACTAGGAGTTGCGACTGAAGTGACTAGAGAATCGAAAGTGGTGAAAGAAAACGAGTTACCTGTGGAGAAAACTGCTGTTGCTACTGCCTGCTGAACCAACCTTTGGTTGTAAGAGGGGAACTGGGTGGGCTGTTTTAGGCTATTTAGAGTGTTTCCCTAGTTTTGTTCCATTCCTGAATTTGCAGACTTTTTGTTTTGTTTTGTTTGGAACCGAGTTGCAAGGGTAGTGGCTTAGTAGATGAAGTTTTGGCATGAGCACTCATCATCTTGCAGTTAATCTCTATCCCTTGAGTAGTGGTCCAATATATGAGAATATGGGTAAAAGATTGATATTGAATCCAGCTTATTCAGTTTTATAACTTTTTCAGCCAAGACCAGGAAGAGAAACATTTGGCATCTGCTTCATACGCGAATGTAGGTATCAAACGGTCCCAAAAAAAGTTAAGGCAATATCCATATCAAATTTTGACACAAGATTGTGGAACTCAAGGATACTCTCATGTCTTAACTGAGGAGACAAGTCATCACTGACATCATAATCAGTCCCAGTCTTCTTTCTACTGGTAGCTCATTTCCTTGACATGTTCCTTCTCCATCAGATATACACCAGGCACAAGAAGTAGTATTTAAGTATTTAACATTAGAATTCTATGTGACAAATCGTCAGCACTGGGCTGGGCTGTTGCATAAGTCAAAATCCAGCATAAATTACAGAGTTGAGAAGTAAGAAGTCCCAAAGATATCTTCCAATCGAATATATAATTTCCACCATATGCCAAGAGTTGAAGAGATAACCCAAGTCCATACATCAGTTAAATCAGAAGAGTCCATCGAGTTAACCAACAAATCATGTCTTTTTAAATGTTATATCTGACTTAAAACGTTAAATTTGTACTAAGCATGCGAAAGATGACATAGTGACAAGATACGCAAATCAAGTTACATCCCCACAATGAAGTATAAAAATTCTACAACCTTAATTACATGTAAGCAATCACAAATCATTGCATAAGTAAATAACAAAAGAACAAAGATAGAGTCCATTAGGCTCGAGTCATCATCATCATCTCCTACGAGAACTGAGCAATGATCTCGGAGATGGCGAACATTCAAAGAGATCAAGGAGCATATTCTCAATGTCTTCACAAGTGTATCGGATATGTTTTTCGCCTATACGAACCGCATTTCTTCCAAGAAATCCCCTGTAAGACTGAACAACCTTGACAGAGGTTGAGATGTGAAGATCATCGCGGAGCTCTGGATCAGGAACTGACCAACGAGTTTGGTTCTTGTAAACATCATCAAATGCAAGGCTGAAAAGTCTGCATCTTTCTCTCAGGCTTTTTACAGAGTTGTTGTTGTCTGTGAGCAAAGCAAGTATAGAGCTCCATGTGGATCTCTCGTAGTTTGTGACATTGCGTTGGTAGCTTGCAATGTGCTTCCTGATCCATTCGTCTCCAAACAAGTGTCTCAGCTCTGATCCCTTTACCTTCTGGACCATGTAACGGAAGTTGTTCATCAGGAAAATGGATTTCAGTGCTTCGTCTGCGTAAAGCTGAGCTTTTCGCTCGAGGCTGGATTCCATAGTTGTGACGATTGACCTGAGGTGTCTAGCCATTGGAGAGAATGTCGAAGCGAGGACATCTTCTCCTGTTTTCTCGGGTATTGAGTCGTCAATGTGTATGTTCTGAAGAAGTGAGTTTAGGGTGTCGGTATACTCCGGGAGAAGCTTCAAGTAATTCATTACATACCTAGTCAGGTGATGAATTCCGCCTCCATGAAAGGGGCGTGTGGATTCATCTGAGGCTATTGCGTATTTGAACTTTAAGAAAGTTGCGGTTGTATGATCAGCTAGTTTTTTTGACAGGTCGTGGAATGCAATTCTTAAAAACGAGCCTGTTTCATCCGGGAAGAGGTTATCGACATCCACGAGAATCTCTGCTGAAACCTCATACATACTAAGGAAGCGCTCAAGCATTTCTGGCTTGCAAGATCTCAGCGCCACAGCTTCTCCAAAGTTGAGGAGGGATAGAACTGTATCTTTTGAGATTTCAATGAAGCAAGCCGTAGAAATTGACTCAAAGTCTCCCAAGATCTCTTCACAGAGCTGCTTTTCACTGGTGAGATAGACCTGAGTAATGATCTTAACAACCCTTGTCCATTTTCTCATTGCACCATTCAAATCCTCCCAGTCCATTTTGAGAACATCAACGCAGCTGAATCTTTCCATTTCAAGAGTGACCATATACTCATCCAGAGCTTCTCTTTGAACGATGATGAAAGCTTCACAGAATGGTTGATCATACTCGCAAGCAAACATGGTGTTTGCAATAGCTTTAATGTGAGGAAGGACGATGGGATCAAGTAAATCAGAATTATAGAAATCCGATATCTGTTCATCATCTTCGTGTGAAGAGGCTTCAACAACAACTTCATCATCTAAGGAAACAAAGGACTCGTCGTACACAATATCCTTTCTATGGGAACTAACAGCCAAGTATTCAGGCTGTACATGCTGTTTGTGCTGATGCAGAACATCACGGAGCTCTTTCTCAAGCCTCAGCATCGCGATGTCAAGAGCAACCGTAGCTTGGTTGTAAACATCTTTCTCTTTCGGGTTAGTTTTGATGGGAAAAGCTTTGAAACCCACAAGAACTGATTGAACTTCATACAGGGCTTGAAAGAATTGATTTGCTGCAGACAGACCAGCTTCCAAAATCGTCGATTGGTTAGTCTCCCAACTGCAGATTTTCTTCACAGCTTCTTTGAATCTCTCCTTGATCTCAGAGAATCCTGCATCTTCAACTTTCGTATCAGCAATCCCAAATGTTGACAAATGCGACTCTAGGTCACTTAGGAGCTTTCTCAAGTTGGCATCCAGGTTGTTATCAGATGCCCTCAGTGCCTTAACAACATGGTGACATGCCTCAAAGACATGATTTTTCCCCCCGGAAACAGGAAGCTTGGATTCAAACTCTGCCATAACCCAAACCAAAAGACTAGAGCCTAAAACTCAACTAGAATTTGACTAGACAACTAAATACACACGGCAGAAGAGAGAAAACTCAAAAGTACAAATGGGGGAAGCAGTAAAAGATCTGAACGAATGGAAATAGTTCTGATAAACTAAGGGATGTTATATAAAGTGATTACTAGGTAAGCTTAACCCCAAGAACTATACTTCGAAAAAATCTCAAGTCATCTGGGAATGAAGTAAACAGAGAGGAAGAGGAATCCCCACATGAACATAGTAAAAACCATTACTACTTAAGCATAATCCAATTGACATACTTATGGTAAAAGATCAGTGAAGCATTCTTCAAATCCAACATTTCTTCCTCCTCATACGAACATACTATCTATCAGCCCATACAACACCCCAAAGAAAAAGTCAAGTCAACGGCTTTCCCAAAAACCCTAGTTGCTTCTGTAAAAAAGGAGAAATTTTGAGGGAATTAAGATGTTTATTAGAAGAAACTGATATGCTAGCTCTTTGATTTCACAGAAACATTTTATCATACACTTGGTGATCAAACAGAGTAACGTACCGTGAAACGAGCTTAAAGTCCAACGGAAAGAAGAAACAAAACCCAGGAAAGAACAGATTGTGATTTCGATTACTGTATCATCAAAGAAGAGATTTTTGAAGCAAGAGCAAGAGAATTTAGGCGAGAATATTGGGGAAGAAGAAGGAAAGAAGAAAAAGTTGTGGTGCAAGCAAACTCTATATATAAAAACAAAGTTGAAAATTGGAATTAGTATTCGAACGAAGGCGATCCCGTAATTTCGTAGATTGCGAAAGGTTTGGGACAATTATATATACAGTATTAATTAGTCTTTGAAATTGTTTGGCCGCCCCGAATCTAGTTGAGATTGATTCGTCTCTTGACTTCCACTCCCCATATGGCGGGACAAAAATAATGGGATGATAAGTTAATTAACTTAAAATTTGGGCGTATAAATGTAATTAATAAGCTTCGAAATTTATTTAATTTGTTTACGCCATTTACGAATTTGAACTTTTTTGTTCTATCTTCCTCCTTGATTTTGATAATGTTGTCGTCAGAGAGAACCGAATTTCATTTTCCACATTTTAAGTTGGTTTTTCAGCGCTATTGGATACATTAGGGATAATGTAGAAGTTATAGGAAATTAAGGGGTACAACAACAAATTGTTGTCATAAATGTTGATTAGTCAATACTTGAAGTTTGACTGGCTCGCACATGTATTGATCTGAACCGTCCGCTTAAATTGTACGGGTCACACGAGTAGTTGACAGCTCATATTATAAGGACATTAGCAAGCTTTTTTCCCACGTCAACAAGTAAAATTTTCTCTTCATATATAAATTAAAAACTAAATGTTTGCCTCACGCAATGCGTAGAACTAAGTACTTTCAAGTGTCAAAAACATGTGATATATGATGATTAAAGATTGTAAATATTGTTTAATTTGGATTTATGTTTGATTTTGATCATCACATTTTTGTATTAAACTCTTTAGAATCTATGAATATTAGTATTTGTTGGAATCAATATCGTTTTTGTTCTTCAACAAAAGAAAATTAGTATTTGTTGGAAATAATTTTTAGTTATATAGATATTTATCAGTCATAACGTGTGATACGGTGGATTTGAGTTGAGACCCACACATAAAACAAAACCATAAATGTTTGTAGTTTTTAAAAGGGCTTTTAGTTTTTTGATTTTATATAAAATATTGGCTTTTTCAAAACTAAATTAAAAACCAATCTAATTATTATCAAAAAACAAACAAAGGCCAATCTCTTGCAAAATTGCACAATGACATTTTGTCATTTTCTAATGGTTCTAGTTCAATTGCTTGTAGTAATGGGTTTGATTAAATATATGGGCCTGGAGTAGGCTTTTGTAACACATTTTCTTTCCAATTTAAAGCCCATTATCAAACAAAAATATATGCGCCAAAAAAATGGAAAGATAGTGAAAAGAAGCGGTAAGAGTTTTTTTTTTTTTGGCCAAAAAAATGAAAATTGAGATCAGCGGGAGAACAATAAATCGAATTTAATAGCTCCCGCTTAAAACTCTCTCCTTTACAAAAACCCTTTGTACCTCCCATTCTTCTCACTATCACACACACACACACACCTTTTGGGTTTACCATTCTGACTAAGGATAGATACCAAAACGTTTCAATCGAGAGAGAAAGATGCAGACTTCGGTGACCCCAGATGCTATCTCCACCGTATTGTCAAACCCATCCTTTGATTCCTCCTCCGAACGACCTGAGATCGTTGTTCAAGTTGTGGATCTTAAACCTATCGGCAATCGATATACGTAAGTTTCCTTGGCTTTTTATGATCTGGATTTTATTTGGTTTTTTAATCTCGCTTGTTCCTGCTCTACATTAGTGTTTGTTCCGGATCTGGGTTTTGATATGAGTTTTTATAATCCCTAGTTTTGGGTTTGTGAAGGTTTTAAATTCTATGCATTTGATGTGATTGGTCGTTTATATGTTTTGATTTTGGTTGACAGATTTAGTGCAAATGACGGAAAGACGAGAGTCAAAGCAATGTTTACACCTACACTCACACCTGAAATTATTTCTGGAAAGATCCAGAATCTGGGTCTAATTCGTCTCATTGATTTCACAGTTAACGACATATCAAGCAAATCAACAAAGTAAGAGCTCTCTTTTGCTTCTTCTTTTTGTTTTATTCTTGATTCATCAGTTAATAACATGTGTGTTTGTCTATTGTCTCTGTGTCAGATATTTCCTTGTGAATAAGTGTGAGGCTGTTGGTTCTGTGCTTGATTCTGATATCAACTTGGAGAGTAAGAGCCATGCGGAGGCTAGTGATCCCAAGAAGCAGAAACTAGAGCATTCTCCTGTCAGTCCTGTGAATGATGTTAAAACGGATGTTTGTACTGGTATCACATTGAAACCCAAGCAGGAATTTGTAGCCAAATCAGCCTCTCAGATAATGAGTGAACAGAGGGGAAAGTAGGCAATTTCTCTTTTTCTATCTTCAATTTTCATTTTCTCTGTCGAATTGTTCTTTATGAGTGTTTGCTTTAACTCGTTTGGATTTCTGCAGTGCTGCACCAGCTGCAAGAATGGCCATGACTAGAAGGGTTCATCCACTTGTGTCATTAAATCCTTATCAAGGAAACTGGACCATCAAAGTCCGAGTCACTAACAAGGGAGTCATGAGAAATTACAAAAACGCTAGAGGGGAAGGATGTGTCTTCAATGTGGAACTTACTGACGAAGAAGTAAGAATGCTCCCAGTTTACTTTATATCTCAAACTTGGTATCGACCTTTATACGGTTACTTATTTTCTTTATTTGGCTGTGATCCAGGGAACACAAATTCAAGCAACGATGTTTAATGATGCTGCAAGGAAGTTTTATGACAGATTCCAATTGGGAAAGGTCTATTATATATCAAGGGGGTCACTTAAACTTGCTAACAAGCAGTTCAAGACAGTTCAGAATGACTATGAGATGACACTGAATGAAAATTCAGAGGTTGAGGAAGCTAGTAGTGAAGAAATGTTCATCCCTGAGACAAAATTCAACTTTGTACCCATTGAAGAGTTGGGTTTGTATGTAAATCAGAAGGAGCTTATTGGTACGAGGCTAAGAGCCGTTTTGTCATTGAACATTCGTTTTGCAGGTAAATTATACATTGATAATAACTTGTGTTATGCTGTTTCCAGATCTTATCGGAGTTGTTCAAAGTGTATCTCCTACTATGAGTATTAGAAGGAGAACTGACAATGAGATGATTCCTAAGAGGGATATAACTTTGGCTGATGAGTCGAAGAAAACTGTCGTGGTGTCCCTGTGGAACGACCTTGCAACTGGCATAGGTCAAGAACTGCTAGACATGGCTGATAAGTCACCTGTGGTCGCAATCAAGTCTCTCAAAGTTGGAGATTTTCAAGGTAATGTTGGATTTGATATTATTGAACAGTATGTTGAATTCTCACTTGTTTGAACCTATTGCTGATAGATTCCAATCTCTCCAGGTGTTTCATTGTCCACCATCAGCAGAAGCAATGTGGTTATAAACCCGGAATCACCAGAAGCTAAAAAGTTGAAATCTTGGTATGCTTTTGGATTGAGTCAGGTGGTAAAATATAATGATGAAACTTGTCTGTGTTTATTGAATTATCGTTCTCTTTGACATTTGCAGGTTTGATTCTGAAGGCAAGGAGATATCCATGTCTTCCATTGGCTCAGGGATGAGCCCCTCTTCCAAGAATGGATCTCGGTCTATGTATACTGATCGAGTCCTTCTCTCTCACATCACAAGCAACCCATCTTTAGGCGAAGAAAAGGTAATAACCACTGAAATTCAAGTCCTGGACCAAAAGTGCTTAATGATAGAGTTATGAACTTATTATGAACATGGATTTCTGTTGCAGCCTGTATTTTTCAGCACGAGGGCTTACATAAGCTTCATCAAACCAGATCAGACAATGTGGTACCAAGCTTGTAAGACTTGTAACAAGAAAGTGACCGAAGCACTTGACTCTGGTTACTGGTGTGAAGGATGCCAGAAAAAATATGAAGAATGCAGCCTAAGGTGAGAAAGATACTCAGATTCATAGATCAAACCTGGGTTTGCTCTTAACTTCCTTTCTCAGACACTTTAAATCTGTCTGCTTTGGTTGTTGGTAGGTACATAATGGCGGTGAAAGTCACCGACTCATCTGGAGAAACTTGGATTTCCTCATTCAACGATGAAGCAGAGAAGATTCTTGGATGTTCAGCCGATGATCTCAACAAACTAAGATCAGAGGTAAAGAAACAAAACCCTATATAAGCTACAACTAATTGTTAGAACTTAGAAGTATATAATAGCATATTGATGTTTAAATTTGTTAACAGGGAGGTGAAGTAAATGAATATCAGACAAAACTGAAAGAAGCAACCTGGTCATCTCATGTCTTCCGGGTTAGTGTCTCTCAGAATGAGTATAACGGTGAGAAGAGGCAAAGGGTAACTGTGAAAGGAGTAGCTCCTCTTGATTTTGCTGCTGAAACAAGATTGTTGCTCCAAGACATCTCCAACAAGAACAAAGCATCTCAGTAGTTAGTTTTTTGTTTTTCCATTCCTTTCATCAACCTCAGCACACTACTGGCCTAAAAAAGTCTCAAACTTTGCTTGTAATATAAGCCTTTCTGCAATATATATTATTAGGGTTTTAAATTTGCTTAAAACTTAATTCTTTTTTACAAGCGATCTATTTTGGTGTCATAAAAGTAAAAAAAAACAAGCAATCTTAAATGGGGAATTGCAGGCTATAACCAACAAAAATTTTAAAATTAAGTGAGTAACCATTCTAACCATAAACCTATAATATTCTTTGTATTTCATATAATATTGGCAAGTTTACCCTTGTTGCATGAGTAACAGTTGCCTACTTCTTCTATACCCTATCTCTTTTACAATTCCTTCTTTTTATGCATTCAAGTACTATTCAACATCATGTTGATCAAAACTGGCATCCCAATCCAGAACATATGCGCAAGATCATCTAATTCTTTCTCATAAAGAGCCCACACAAAATCTAGTTTTATCCCAATCTCCTTAACCACAATGGTGTAAAATCATTGTCTCTTTAGCATATCACCTTTAACCAATTCCATAGCCTTCAAATCCGAACCCAAAACCAGATTCAACAACGACAAAGCCATGAATCTCGCCTGAGAATCCCCATTCCCCAGCAACAACCACCCATGATCAATTCACAAATCCGAAACATCAAATTTATCCAATTTCTGAAACTCACAACTCAAAACCTTCATCTATTTCA